TTCTCCTAAAGAGCACCCTTGGGTACTTGTCTCGCTGACACACATGCAGTGGCTATCTCAGAACAAGGCTTACTGGTCAATGTTTAATGCTCCATAATTGGTTTTACTGACCAACACAGCCTGCAGGATGCCAATGCTGATTTGAAGCCTGGCAGCTGAGGCTTACCACCACTGCAGTCCTACCTGGTCTTTTATTATGAATTGTTAGTTACATGTAATTCATATCATCCACTGTGAGAGGTGTAACTGTCTGGCAGTCATTACAAGGATTAAACTGTCAAGGTTAATCCGCACAATCATCTCTACAATCCCTTCTTCCTTTTCCGTGTCTACTCTACTCCGGCCTGACAAAATCACAGTGCATCACACTGATACACTGGCCATGACTTGAATGTGATTTTCATACCTAAGAGTTTCATCTTATCTTACCTTTTTTTTGTCTCTCTGCTAGAGAACCATGAGCACTGTGGAGGAGGAGCCGGATCACATGATACCATGAAGACAAGCCTGCAGGTCCTGCGCTGCCAGCTGCTGAGTGAGTAGACCCAACAGTGGGGGCAAGGGGCATCCGCAGGGTGTCTTGTCCTGGGTGTGCTACCAGGGACCCAGAATGCCACTGGGCACTGCAGATGCAAAATCAAAAGAGAATATATCTGCAAAGGTCCTGTTGCTATCATACAAATATGAATTCAGCAGAATTTAACACTAAGAGAAATGAGAACCATACTTGGTTTACTATTATTTATTGTTAAGAGTAGATTTCTAATGGTATATATTTTACACAAGTGAATATAATCCATCAAATAGGGCCAAAAGAAACACACATTATCGAATTTTTGTTTATCCTGCATTCAAGTCACATGGGAGGGATGGTAGATGTTTTTGACTTGCAAACATTTACATCATCGCACAACTGCAGTTGGTTTATGGTTGCAGAGTGTGAGGGTTAGAGATACTGTGCATTGACTATATAACACTATATTGGTTAAAGTTGTGTTCAGTTACTTTGAACGACGGCCAGCCATTTTGTTTGTTTTTCAGGCATTTCTGTATTATTGAATTCCATGTCAGACTTATTGGAGCTTTCAGAAAAATCCAGGAATAATTTGA